CAGGAAGGTTGAAATGATGGGAAAGAATAGACTATAAAATCCAACATTTATTTTCTCTCTTTACTTTTCAAGTGAATAGGCTTTTGCAAAGGTCAGTTTCTCTCTTTGTTATCCAATTGCTTAATAAACTCCTGGTCTTTATAGAGAAGAAGAATAAAAATTTTGGTCCTCTCTATTTACTAGAGATTCAGTGTAAGAAAACAATGGCACATTATTAAACAGGGAGAAAGTGGTGTGACCCCCCCCCCCATTCCTTGCATGTATTATTTTAGTAGAAATTATATTATAATTTCTATTCACAGGCTAACCTAGACTAAGCAAGCAATTAGGAGCTTTATTTGTCACAAAGGGTTTCATGATCAGAGTCAGGGATGCATCTGTATTAATTTAAATAGCACTACTATCAGTGGAATTATTGCCAGACTTGATGATCTTGAATATTTTGAGTCAGAATACAAACTTCATCTTCTTCTTTTTTTTTAGTCAGTATTCCCTCTTCCCATTGAACCATTTAAGGGACTTGGAAGAAAGTTTGGTACATTTTTGAACCCCATGAGTATTTAAAGTTATTTTGTGTTTTAGGGAAAAGACAATAGATGTTAGATGGATTTTGAGCATGCATAAACAAATGAAAAAGTGGGTAAGGATTAAGGAGGAGGAAGTCCTCTGAGGTTGAGTGAGAAGCTACAGACCTCTTTGGATAACCTAGATATTATATAGGTGATGGGCATGGTGGCTTCTTCCCTGGGCCAGATTAACACCTTTACCGGTCCTTAGCACTTAAAAGAGTTCGATGCCCCCATATGTATCTAATTTAAAACATGTATAAACAATAACAAACCATAAAATAATTTATTTTGAAATGAAATAAAACTTACATTAATATGGAAAATAATGTTTATTTTTGTGTATTTCTTCATTATTTATATTTGAAAAGTTTCCTCCTACTTTTTCTAAGTGCAATTTTTTTTACTGTGGGAGCCCCATTTTTGTCAAGCTGCACGATTTTGCAGTTTTGCATCATATTGTTCAGGGTAAAACTGACAATGAAAAATGTATTTTACTGTTTGGCCCCTGTGGTGTCCTCTTGTTTGCAACTATAGTAGGGAAAGCCAATCTTTGCATAAGATTCAGTTGCCAGTTTTCTCAATTTCTCTGTATAAAAAATGGTAAGCAAAACATCATGGAGGCAAAAGATTTTGGTCCCAATATTGTGTTTAAGATTATGTGGCTTGTGGTATATGGTGTAGTTCAAAGCTTGGAAAAAGCTAGTCTTGGTATCTACAGCTCCCAGAAACCTTTGCCAGTGTGGATAACTAGACTTGATGGTTGTAATATTTGAGCAGTTACAGCCCTCGAAAGCAATTTTTCCAAGCTACTTGCAATTGGTTGGTTTACTGAGGTCCTCGAATATTTCATCTTGAGCATTCCTAAAAATATTTTTTACATACTGAATGCCCTTTTTATTTCTAAGAATAATGATGATAATGATGACTTTATTTATAGCAATAATAAGAATAATTTCTAAATGTTTACATTTGCTCTATGCATCAGTTGTTATTGATTTATTTTTAAAGAGTAACTAACAACCTGTTAGGATATAACTCACACTATTCTTTTGCGTATTTTTTTAAAAAAATTGAATCTTTTTTGAAGGTAGACCCTATACTGGGTGGGATATGAAATAAGTAAGAAAATAAATTAGTAACTATCCTTCAAACTGTTGCCTTTGAACTTTCTACAGACTCATAAAGCTGTACATCTATATGCCAGATTCCATCTTGCTAGGCACTTCAGTGCCATGACAGGCCAATCGTCATAAATGAGTGTAATTGGCACTCATCAGGAATCTGTCATGCCCCGTGGGCAACCAAGTGGCTCTTGGGAAGATGTGTGAGTGTTTTTTTAGAAGATGCTCCTCTCAAAATCTGTAGTGAGTAGAAAGAAGGCCATTTTCAAAAGTGAAGTGTAATTTTCTGCATTTGTAATTTAAATGAAGGCCTGCCTTAACAAGAGCACATCATTCTCATTCTTTCTCTCTCTTTTCCCCCTTAATGGCTTTTTTCTGCTTTGCATACAGCATTAGCAACTGTCACAAATGGCTCATTTTCAGCTAATAAATGGTATTAGGGGGACAAATGGACATGATGCTCGACACAGGGTTGTTGCTGAATATGGCAGTCTTTTATCAAGGCTTCCTTGTCTCTGGAGTGTTAAATTCTGGGTGCATCTACACTGCAAACATTAATGCAGTTTAACCCCACTTTAACTGCCCTTGTCCAATGCTATGGAATCCTTGTATTTTAATGAGGCACCAGTACTCTTTGCCAGAGAAGGTGAAAAATCTTGTAAAATGACAATTTCCATGATTCTGTAGCATTGAACCATGGCACTTAAAGTGAAGTCAAACTTAATTTTGTATCCGCCATTTCATTTGCCCTAATTTTTCTGCTTCTTTGCCAAAGAGGTGCGTGTATGAAAATATAGTTTATGATTATGTTGTGGCTGATAAGTACAAGCTGTCTTGATACAGGATGGAGACGTGGAAGAGCAGAGTTCCACCTAGAATGTCACTAGCAAAAAAACCCCCTCAAAATAAATCTAATGAAACAAAACAAAATTTAAAAACCTGGAAAATAAAAACACGTTGAGGTATCGCTTTTGTGATGATGTGTGCCACACTGCCAGCAGGCGCCAATGAGACTACCATAGGCAATTTATTTCATGCTCTGATTTGTATTGTGTCATGTTATGAGCAAGTATAATGTGAAACATAATAATTAGGTAATAATTGAGAGCAGGCAATCATTGAGAGTTCTTCCATTCACCGTCAGCAGTTTGAATTGTCTACACACGGAGAGGAGCTGTATTAATTCATTATTACAGACAGCACTAATTAATATGAAGGCATGGCTGGTTTTCTTGGGACAAGCAGAGGAGATAAAAATCTTACATCCAGCACAGTGGAACCCAGGAAAAAAAACCCACAGAACCAGACAGAATTAGAGGTAAAAAATTTGCTATCAATAGCTGATCAATGAAGGAGATATATACATGGACTAGTATGCAGCATTGGAGCTGTAGGAGGTGTTCAAAGGAGTGAGGAGTGGTAAGGAGTGAAAAGAGTCCTTGAGAGATTGCATAAGATGAGCTAAAATGGAAGGATGGGGAAGAAAGAAGGTTTCTTGAACTCCACAATGTTTAGAAAAGTAGTATTTACATATCACCTAACACTTGTGAAAAAAGTATACGCTGGCATATATGCAAGTATGACAGAGTGTTCCTGAGAAATAAGATTTGTACTAAGTGCTATATGGAGACTATAATCACATAATGGAAATAAGTATGCAGTAGCACAAAGGAAAACTAGCTTGGTGTAATGATTTGAGCACTGGACTACAACTCTGCGGATCAGGGTTACAATGACTGCTCCACTATGGAGACCCATGAAGCAACCTTTGACAAGTAAAACCCTCTCAGCCTCAGTGGAAGGCAATGAGAAATTCCCTCCCTCAAGAAAACTTTAAGAAATGTGCATTGTGGTCACCATAAGATGAAAATGACTTGAAAGGCACAGAACAAGAACAAACGTGGCAAGATTTTTAGGTCCTTACATTGTAGTTATGGGCCCAGGGAGAAACAAATAGTGGGGAGGCAAGTGATAGACATCAAGATATGAAAGTCCCTTTAGGCACTATTTCCCAAATGCTGGTCTTCTAGGTGTTTTGAACTTCAGCTTCTTGCATCCCTGATCACTAGACAAGGCAGCTGAGACTTCTGGTAGTTGAAGTTCAAAACACTTGGAGGGGTGATTTGGGAATCACAGCATTAGAGGGATAAGGTAAGAATACAAGAAGAAATATGTTGGATCAGACCAACAGTCCATATAGTTCAATATATTGTCTCCTTAGGAAAGTCTAGGAACATGACATGAATGAAGCAACCATCCTGTGAGCTTGCTGTCCCCTTCCAAAAGTGCTTCTGAACCAAGATTTATTAATTTTATTAAGGTATTTTTAATTTTCTCCCACCATATCAGTGATTCCCTTTCCATGCCAATTATTGGAATGCAAGTTTTTTATCCAGAATGTTCACTGAGCAATTACACGAGGATGAACTCAGCTAAGCATAGACACTTAGTCTATTGATTGAATAGGGTTGCAGGTTTGTTTGTTTTGTTTTGGGTTGTTTTTTTTTGCTATGAAATAAGCTTTTGGTATTTTTCCAGCTTTTGTTCATGACAATGAAATTGTAGGTGCTTGATAAAATTTGCTTGTTTTAATATGGACATGGGTGCCTGAAGCACACTTTAAAAAACTGTATACAGTTCAATTTATTAAACTGTATAGTTATGTCTATCTCCCGTGATTAATTCTTTGCTTAAAGGAATTACCACATAACTGTATCTTTCTTTTGTTAATTAATGTACATTCACCAAAAACATCAATATTGCTTTCAACAGTGCTCAGAGACAGTATCTTTTTTTTGTTTAAAAAAAAAGCCATATAGCAAAGCTGTTATGAAGCACAGAATCTCAAAATTTAGAAATCGTTCTTACAATTGACTATTGTGATTGATGGATTTGGCAAATATTAAATATATTCAGCCCAGTGAAAGCCTTCCTATGAATGGTAGACTGAAGCATCAAGAGCCACCAACAGTACAATGAGGAAGACTAGATGTGTTTTAATGTGTACTGCAGAGATGTGAAAAGAATTTCAATGCAAAAGAAACCTAAATGGACTCTATTACAACATACAAAAGCTTTTAGAGACAATGCATTATCTGCCCTGTGCCATTATGAAGAAGTCTGGAGATGTTTGTACATCTTTGTTTAGTGTCTGCTTAGTTATTAATTCATTTTGTTTGTGTCTTTAATTCCTGGTGATTTTGCCTCCTAAGCCTTGGACTTAACTTTCTTTAATGTATTTATGCAATGATCATGCAGGCACCTCTAAATAAACTAATTCATTGTTTTCTCTGCTCTTTTTGTTTTGCAGCTGGTGCAACATATATCTTTGGGAAAAGTGGAGGCCTCATTCTTTACACTTGGCCAGCGAATGATAGACCGAGCACAAGGACAGATCGCCTGGCTGTTGGGTTCAGCACAACAGTAAAAGATGGCATCTTGGTTCGGATTGACAGTGCCCCTGGGCTTACTGATTTTCTACAGCTTCACATAGTAAGTTTCCTGTTTCAGTTTCTGTTTCAGTTCACATTTTCTGTTTCAGTTGATTTCTAGTCATCCAATGAGAGCTCATTGAAACTTCTTAGTCATTTGGCATAAATGGAGCACCCAGGAATATGTACAATAGCTTATCATACAAAAAAGTTTTCACCAGACTGAATAATGTTGTTCTCAAAGTTACAAATATGGCTTGAGGATGCTGTACTATCATTAGGAGAATTTGTTCTAGTTCATGTATTTTTATTACTATTTTTCTTGAAATGTATAGGCCTCTTTTTCCATAAATTGGTTCTCCTTCCACGAAAATATTTCATATTTAGGACATACTGGCTCATGGTGTTTCTAGGGTTAATGGCTCTGTTTACTATGGATGTTGTCAAGCTGCTGATTTTGTATGAGAATTTTTGAAAAATATATTGCTAAGAAAAAATGTCTTTCAATTTGGATAAGACCTCAACTGTGTCTGGTCAATATGTACTAATGACCTAAAATTGTATCGGCACAAAATCATTGTTTTTAGATGCATTCACTTTACAGGTCCAGTAGCCATGATGAAATATATTTTGCTTATTTATTGTTTATGCGGTGAGGATGATTTTTCCTTTGTGCTGATGTAGGGGGATTAGGGCAGTTGTAACACATATTACTTTGTATCCAACAAAATATCATCATGTCAGCTCTGCTGAGAGATATATAATCTTAAGAATGTGAGTTGTATATCTGAACAGTGAATCCTCAGCATAACATTTTAGATAGAAACAGGTCAATGTTAATTTGCTACTTGTGCAATTCTATGATCGATTGAGTTTAATGGGGCCTGCTTCTGAAAAGTGTGCATAAGATTTCACTCCCAGAAATAGTTATGTCAAATAGAAGACTAATCAATTTGTGGATCTTTTTATCACCATAGTGTGTCAGTACAACCCCTTCTTTCCTGTGGCTCCATGATGATAATATAATGCTCAGTCCCTGAACACTGCTGAAGTCAACCAACTTCCCAAATATGTTATGATAAATAACATGTCTAAATATTAGTCAATATAAGCTTCATGTGAGCTAAGCCTAAATACTTTCCTTAGACTTAGAATACTGTACTATAGCAAGACTTTCAGAGAAAGAAGGAAATAAGAGAAGGATCAACAATCTGTTTAAGCTAGAAGCTAGCATGCCCATCTCAACAATGATATCATTTTATAGTAGTGCTGTAGTTTATTGACTTGAGAAGTAAAAATATCTGTGAGTTGAGAAAGATCTAGAAGGGAAGTGGAGATCATGAAAGGTTTTCAACTCTGCCTCAAAATGTTGAGTGGAGGAAATGCAAGGCGTTTCTCTCTGCTTGTCTAATGTCCCATCAGGTCCCTGTTTCTGTCGTCTCTGCTTGTGATAGTGTCCATATTTCCCATATGACAAAAATCCATAGTTCTGTCATATCAAAAACTTAAAGCAGTTGACAGCTTTTATTTGGTAATGACAGCTACCAGACTTGCTTTAATATGGAGGTTCTGGGACACTGAAATAGTGCATGCATTTAACATATGCTATTTAAAAACCATCTGTTGTAAAGTGTTTTGCGTGCTTTCTTTCAGTATGTGCAATTTCCTGTAGACATCTCCCCTTCTTTGAGCTTATCATTCTGACTTTGAGTTCCTGTTAAATGTCCATTTAGTTTCATAGCTAAATAGTTTCAGCTTCCTTCTCAGCAGTGGCATCATCTCCACACAATTTTGGTTTGCTTAATTTTATTCTTTATGGATATTTTCTCTGAAATATTTGTGTATATAAGCCAATGACAAGATTTTTTTTAAAAAAAAAATGAGCATCCCACCTGTATTTGGCATGTGGAGCAAAGTGTTGACATACACATAAATGCTAAATATGATCATGAAATGTGGCTTGAGTTGGACATTTCTCCTGAGTAACCTCCATCACGACTCCTTACAGCTCAAGGGAATCACAGGACATTTATTGCCACATAATTTTTCTATTTGCATACCGAGTGAGGAGAATGCAAAATGGTATCTTATTAATTTCTTTTGTAAATGTAATTTATGGAAAATCCATTTGGATTCATTTTTTAATTATGAGCCCTTTAGACACTCTGGAGATTTATATGCTGAGGCATCTGTTTCATATGACAAGAATCTATAACCTCCGAAACCTTTTCTCTTCTGATTTACAGCGCAGATGTGAGTGAGCTGGCAGCCCAGGGAAAATGAATGGTGCACCCTTTAGAATGACTCGGCTCATGAATTTCTAGCCATTTATATTGCCCCTATAAGTCTAGGTGTGGCAAGCTGAGTGAGTTGTAGTCCAAGGCTTCCTGCCTTGTGTTGTACTGAGATTGGCACATCCTTTGGGGTGTTTATGAAGATGATGGGCAGTTTCCCCTCTTGTTGGTTAGACTGCAAGGCTGAAATTTGGCCAGGCGCTTCCATACATGCCTTTACCTCACCCCTCACCACAGCCGATGCCCTGTGATTTACAGCATGCAAAATGCTCATGGAGAGTAAACAGAGAGTGATTGGGACAGCTATGGTATATGATGGATATTGTGCTGCTGATGTCTACAGGGAGAGATAATTCATCTGCCTGTGCACTGAAGCTTTGTTTTGCTGCCTTTCATCTGGTATTCTTGAAAATCAGTGCACCTATGGTTTATTCTTTGTGGAGAAGTTAGGAAGGGAGTGGATTAGCCTCAATTCCACAGACTGAAGGGGGATAAGTGAGGCATGGAAAAAGGAGACAAAAAAAACCCCTTGCAATCAATGTTAGTTCCTCTAGTGGAGTTCATACCTAAGCAAATCCCCTGGGAATTCAAGGATTATTAGATACAATGGAAACTCCTAGAGATTGCTTACATGCTCAGTAAAGGGAACTGAGTGATGTACCCCTTGTCATCCATTGGGGATGAGAAAATCTGATTTTCAAGTCTCATTTCTACCTGGAACTCCTTACAGCCTTCATCACAATGATACTGGCATGAAGTGACACCATGTCTGAAAGGTGAGGTACAAATGTTGTTTTTTAAATAAAAAATAAACATTAGAGACTGTTTCTAGAAAATGCATATACTTTTAAGATGGTTAGGGACTGCTGGGTGATCATTCTTTCCTTGGGAAGATTGCTTGTTAATAGCCCATAACAGCTTGTTGATGTTTCCTCACTAAAAGCTAGCTAGTTGTATTCATGTAGAGCAGGCCGGTAACATTATTCTCTGAGACACTTGGAGCAGAAAGAGATAAAATAGACATTAAAAATATAACATTATAAAATAACAATTGGATGCACAAAGAGTTCTACTAGAGAAAACAAAGGCGAATTTTGAATATACTTCTATCTATCTATCTATCTATCTATCTATCTATCTATCATCTGTATCCATCCATCTATCCCTCTATCCACATACGCATACTCTCACACACATGTATATTGAGAGAAGGGGAAGGAGGGGGGAGAGGCCATATAGTGTTCCAGAAGACTAATAACAGATATATTCACAAGGGCGAGGAGCAGTCACAAAAATCATTACTTTGCTCTGCAGTGACCATGGAGGTGCCAATGCAAGGCATTCTATATATGAAGTACCAACTACTGTGGAGACCCTCTGTTCAGTAATGATTTCTTGATATTTAGAAAGTCTTTTGAGTGTTTACATCAAGGAATGTAAACTTTGGCAGACCCAGGGACCAATAACCATTTTTTATTTCCATGGATTATATCTGTCTCTTGTGACGAAACAAGTGTGGTTAAAATGTCACATCTGATTTTCTGGAAATAAAATTTGAGCCCAAAACAAGGTGCAGAAGGAGGCCCAAGTAACATTTAATAGTGAAATTATTGTCTTGGAATCACCTAGAGGTCTATTTCTTGACCCAAACTTGTTTCAGTGATGAGGGGCCTCAGGGGTTAGTGATAGTTGGGGCAGCAAAAGGCTTTGTAGGCTGTAAATCCCCCAGTCCTGGTCTAAATGTGATGGTCATTGGTGGTGGAAGAGCATCCGTCCCATACCATAGAAAGGAGCTGCAGTAAGTATGCTTAATAAGACACAGTAGTTTAGCAGTCTTCAGATAGACACCAACTGAGATCTGTGTGTGTGTTCCCTTTGGTGTAGAGTTGATGTCTCTTTCCGGGGATTTGATATGGCATAGAAATTATGCTGGTAGGAGTGCTTGCTGTTTGCTTATGTTGTTCTTCTAGACATAAGACGTAATAAAAATGACAAGTCTCTGTGACAGCTCACTGTATGAGAGAACAAACTTCAAGGTACTTTTTTGTCTCTTTCTTAGTGGTAGTGCCATCAACCTTTGTCTGGCACTAGAATTTCCAGTGTGGACATCTTGTAGTGAGCCTTCTGTGAAGTCAGTCTACTTCTGTGTCCACTGGCCTATAGTAGGGTTGCAATCTCCCTCTTCCTTGTCTGCAGAAATTTAGGGGGCAATCTTCCTCCTGAATTTAGTAATAAGGCCCTTGTCATGCCCCCACAAGGAGCTTCCAGTGGTGCAATGGGTTAAATCCCTTGTGCTGGCAGGACTGCTGTCCAAAAGGTTGACAGAATCTGTGGAGCAGGGTGATCTCCCATCTGTCAGCTCCAGCTTCTCATATGGGGACATGAGAGAAGCATCCCACAGGATGGTAAAATATCTGGGCATCCCCTGGGTAACATCCTTGCAGATGGCCAATTCCCAAGTCATTCCTGACACACACACAATTCCCCAACAGAGGCTTTACTATTTTCTTTGTCAGGCATCAGTTGTTCCCTTAGTTAAGATAGGCTTAATAATTAGACGTTTAATAAACCTTCCTAGAGGAAGAATCCTACCGCCTCCTTTATCACCCAGAAACCCTTTCTGCCTTTGTTTTTTTTTTCTTATGGTGCCCAGGTCCTGGTAAGCTGCAATATCATGTCTAAGGTGTTGAGGAAAGGACTCAAATACAAGGTGTTATGTAGAAAACAAAATCCAGATAGAAGACACAGAAGAAATCCAGCAAAACAA